GGAATGCCACATCTCCCCAGCAAGATTTGCTTACTCACTTGGTAGTATGAAAAAACAAACTCTAAGACCTTCCTTCCTTGTGTGTATTTTTTGGGAACAGCCTACCTGGAGGAGGGAGAGTAAGGGCAGCTGGGGGGTGTCCCCGCTCAACACATAGCCACCCACCCCATCAGACCCATGGCCAAACACCCCCTCAGCTCCCTTTGCCATGAGAGGTAATGGCCATGTCTTTGTTTTTTCGCTGCAGAACTTCTCACGGGATCTTCGTGGTGACGTAGCAGCCAAGACGTGGAAGCCTGGGACTTCTCTTCCACCACAACAGAATTTGGGGGGTGGGCAGGGGTGGGCCAGGGGGACGCCGGGAATCGCAAGACCCTTCACTTTCACTGTGGGCTTGGCTCAGGGATGACTGCGGGCAGAGTCAACCCTTACAGCATCGTGTCCTCCGAGGAAGACGGGTTGAGGTTGACCACCATGCCAGGTATCAACGGCTTTGGCAATGGGAAAATCCACACTAGGAGGAAATGCAGGAACAGGTTTGTAAAGAAGAACGGTCAGTGCAATGTGGAGTTCACCAACATGGATGACAAGCCACAGAGGTACATTGCAGACATGTTTACCACGTGCGTTGACATCCGCTGGAGGTATATGCTCTTGCTCTTTTCCCTGGCATTTCTGGTGTCCTGGTTATTGTTTGGGCTGATTTTCTGGCTAATTGCACTCATTCATGGAGACCTAGAAAACCCAGGTGGAGATGATACCTTCAAGCCTTGCGTTCTGCAGGTCAATGGCTTTGTGGCTGCTTTTCTGTTCTCCATTGAGACCCAAACGACTATTGGTTACGGCTTCCGCTGTGTGACAGAGGAGTGCCCGCTTGCAGTCTTCATGGTGGTGGTTCAGTCCATCGTGGGGTGTATAATTGACTCTTTCATGATAGGTGCAATAATGGCAAAGATGGCCAGGCCCAAAAAACGGGCCCAGACATTACTTTTCAGCCATAATGCAGTAGTGGCAATGAGAGATGGAAAACTCTGCCTGATGTGGCGAGTTGGGAACCTCCGGAAAAGCCACATAGTAGAAGCCCACGTACGAGCTCAGCTAATTAAGCCCAGGATCACAGAAGAAGGGGAGTACATACCGCTCGACCAAATAGACATTGACGTGGGGTTTGATAAAGGCTTGGACCGTATCTTCTTGGTGTCCCCCATCACCATTCTCCATGAGATCAACGAAGACAGCCCCTTGTTCGGGATCAGCCGCCAGGACTTGGAGACAGATGACTTTGAGATTGTGGTCATCCTGGAAGGCATGGTAGAAGCCACTGCTATGACGACACAAGCTCGGAGCTCCTACCTGGCCAGCGAGATCCTCTGGGGCCACCGCTTCGAGCCTGTCTTGTTCGAGGAGAAAAACCAGTACAAAGTAGACTATTCCCACTTCCACAAAACCTATGAGGTCCCGTCCACCCCCCGTTGCAGCGCCAAGGACTTGGTGGAGAACAAGTTCCTGCTGCCCAGCACCAACTCCTTCTGCTATGAGAACGAGCTGGCCTTCATGAGCCGGGACGAGGAAGAAGAAGATGACGACAGCCGGGGATTGGAGGACCTGAGCCCGGACAACAGGCACGAGTTCGATAGGCTTCAAGCCACAATAGCGTTGGATCAGCGGTCGTACAGGAGGGAGTCGGAAATATGACTCTTGGTCCTTCCATCGACTTTTCCGAGGGTATTTCTTTTCCTCCTCTAATCTCTTCCCCTACAACCCGCTCAAATTATGCAGAACAATGCAAGTGCCATAGGAATGCTTGAGAAATTAGTATCATTCATAGTTTTCAGTTTCATCGCAATAACCACTGAGCGGTCTGCAGGAGGGGAC